TTGAGCTCTTCGCAGAAGACTGGTGCCTCATATGCTGCCTCCCTGCGGATGCTGCCGGCGAGCCTGGCGGTCCGCTGTACTACAAGGATGTGCTGACTCGATTTCTACTCGAATTCTTCTACCCCCACGACTCGGAACGCGAATGTGACAGGACCATCGGGTCCTTCAGCCACCAAAGCGGGATCACCCGAGAGCAGCTGAGCCTGCCTCTGGCCTCGCCTCCCTCTCCTTCAGGCATTCGTGGCATCCTATGGGTCGTCCAGAGTATCGACCTCTGGCTTGTCAGCCGCCCCACCGAGGGCACCATGAAGTACAGCGATCGCCATCTCGCTGGCCTCTTCGCAGGCCCCCCCGACCGCGTCGAACTCATCGGCGCGGGCCCTCTCGGCTACGGGACCGGCCCCAGCTTCGGCTGAGGGCTAACAAGCTGCCGAGCCCAAATCACTGTGAGAGTCGTGATTTCTTGTTGGTCTTTAAAAATCTCTCTCTCAGACTCAGGGAAACTCGCGAGTTTCCAGAATGGAGCACCAAACACCCTCTGTTTTCCCTGGAAATTTCCGGAAACGCAAAGTGCTGGGGACCCTCTGTTTTCCTTTTTGTTTTCCGGAAAACTGGGTTGAGCCCAACCAATGGAGATGACTGCTATTATTTTATTACGCTCCACCACCCTCGCCCAGGGATCTACAATGCTGTCTTAAGGTCCGACAGGTTCGGCACCGGGCACCGCCTCGGTATACAAAATGCGCCTGCGGGCGGACCCTTACAGATCACAGATCACCCTCCCCAATGGGTGATCTGGTGCTTGTAGGGCTTGAGAGTGGCCTGCCATGTCACAGGAAGGACTGTGGTTGGTTGCAGGAGAGTACCAACCATCACTTTAAGTTGGTATGGTACCCCACCTTCACCTATCGAGTGATTTCTTTTTTAGTTTCCCATAAGTAGGGTAGGTAGGTAGGTAGGTAGGTAGGTAGGGGCAGGGCAGGGGCCAGCCAGGTTTTTGCAGAATTTCATCATGATGTCCGGCCAAGCAAAAAAGAATACACCCGAAAAAGGAAAAAGAATTTTACAACAAAACTCCGTCGCACAACACTGGGCACGGGACTGGCGCGCACTGGCACTAACACAAACACAAACACAACATCTCTCTCTCTAACACAGGAAAAAGCATGCAAAAATTCTTGCCGCCCCGACAAACGCCCTGGGCCAGGCTCTTGCAGGCGGCGATGCCGCGGGCGAGAGACGCGAAGGTTTGGAACACGGACCTGGCTGCCGCGTGCGAGGCGCGACTCAACGACGCGATCCAGAGGAAGCACCAGAGCGAGTTCTCCTGGCGGCGAAGCCGCGATCGGATCGTCGCGCTCGACCAAGAGATTTACGTGCAGAAGAACGGCACCATCGTAAATCTGGACAAGGCCGTCTCGCCGGTTGAACAGAAGCGGATCTACAATGAGCTCGTGCGAGTCATCGAGGGCAAGGCCGACATCGGTGGCGGCGGCGGCGGCGGCGGCGGTGGCGGCGGCGGCGGCGGCGGTGGCGGCGGCGGCGGCGGCGCGCCTGCTGGTCGTGGATCGATGCAGTACCTCGACACGATGCAGTTCCGCGGTGGAGGCTACGCCATCCTCTGCGCGTTCCACTTCCACGCCGACCCGGGAGCCCAGCTCACGATCGACCAGATCTGCGGCTTCGCGGCGCCATACTGCAACGAGGAGATGCGGCCCTCCTTCTACAACCCCGGTGTGCGCGGTCTGTACGGCGGCTGGAAGTGCCGGGAGCAGCTGCTCAAGTACAAGCTGATGGTCAAGACGGCCGGCGCCGCAACCATGGGCCCGGCTGGCTGGAGCAGCAGCAATCACATGTACATGCTCGTCGACTCGAACGCTCGCCCGTTCATCAGGGCGATGCTCGAAAAGTGGCCGACGGATCGAGTCGGGCGTGGCGGCGGCGGCGGCGGCGGCGGCGGCCGAGCCGGCTCTCGCGGTGGCGGCCGAGCCGGCTTTCGCGGCGGCGCCTTCAGCGGCAGCGACGACAGCCTTCCCCCGTGCAGCCACCACGTGGGAGGCTGCGTCAGCATCGCTCGGCCCGGCGCGCTGCTCTGCGAGGCGCACGCCGAGGAGGCCTTCCCGGACTACGAGGACTGGAGGGCGGAGGCTCGCCGCCGTGGCGTGACGGTGATCGGCGGCCGTGGGCGGGGGCATACCCCGGGCGGCGGCGGCGCAGGAGGAGGCGGCGGCGGCGGCGGCGGTGGCGCTCTGCCGCACCTCGACTGGTCTACGGGCTTCGACGGGCGGCCGGCGCCGGTGAATCCGCACAACGCGAGCGACCGCGCCGAGCTGGAGAAGTGGGCCCGCGACCCTGCGACCGCTCTCGGCGAGATGAAGGACTTTCGCCTCTCGCGGGAGCGGAGGTGGTACCTGCACCAGGTCTGCGATTCATTAAAATTAATTAATTAATTGATTAATTAATTGAGCGGAGGCGGTACCTGCACCAGGTCTGCGATGAGCTCAAGCAGGAGGGCATCTGGCTCGCTCACGCCTCCTCCGGCTCGGGAGCCACCCGCAAGCTCCACATCCGGCTCGACCGGCGCGGCGGGAGCGCGGGCGGGCGCGGCGGCGGTGCGGCAGCCCTCCTTGCGGGGCTCGGGTCGGACCTCGGGCCGTCGGCCGACGCGCTGCTCACCGCGAGCGCATCGTCCGGAGGGCGGTGGGCCGAATCGTCGCGCACGCCGATGCCGACGCCGATGCCGTCGGCGGGGGGGCACCGCCTCGGCGGGCCCTCTTCCCGCAAGAGGCCGGCAAGCGCCACCAGCGCGGCGGCGGCGGCGGCGGCGGCACGTGCGGCGGCGGCGGCGGCTGCCCCACCGCACCACGCCCGACCCTCGCCGACCGAGCCCGCCGCCTCAGCAGCAGAGTGGCGCTGCCCTCAGTGCACGCTCCTCAATCCGATGCTCCTCGACGCGTGCAACGTTTGCGAGGCGCCGAGGCCGGCGGGCTCCCTCGCCGCCGCCGCCACCGCCGAAGATCCGCCGCCGCGGCTCGCGTCGCTACAGGCCCCTTCGTTGCGCACGGCTGCGCTGGCACCACCGTCCACGCCCCGCCCCGCCGTCATCTCTCTCAGCGACAGCGATGACGAGGTGACGGAGGTGGCGCCCGCGCCCAAGCGCCACCGCACCCCCACCTCTGCCGCCTCCGCCTCCGCCTCCGCCTCCGCCTCCGCCTCCGCCTCCGCCTCCGCCTCCGCCTCCGCCTCCGCCTCCGCCTC